CCCACCCGGTCCCTGGCCCTCGCGGCCATGCCCAGCCCATCTGCACCGCGTCGATAACGCCCGCTGGAGAGGCTTCTTCCAAGCCAGCTGGGAATGCAGGACTGGGGCCCCGGGACCCCAGGGGGGCTCTGAGTGAGAAAACTCAGGTGCCTTCAGGGAGACGAGGAGCTTGGAGAAAGTGATCGCAGCAGGACCTCAAAAGGCCACTTCCTGGAAGGAGGCGCAGTGATGGAGACCCTCAGGCCGTGGGACAGGCTGGCTGAGGAAGGCTTTATTGATCCGGGCTCCCCAAATTGCTCCAGACTGCTTTTTCTCCCGACATAGAATACCCCCTCTACGCTTGGGACTGCACTGTTAAGCACTTGCCCAGGTAGGCAGCCCCCACGGCCAGAAGGATCCCCACGAGGACTGCGATGGAGGAGGAGGCCCAGACTTTGGACGCAGGGTTCCAAGCTGGGAACAGGAGGTGAAAATTAGGATCAGAGCGGTGGTCTGCGCGCCCTCCCGGGTCATAGCCCTTTCTCCCCGTTCCCCACGCCCCCAGGGTTGCCTCACCGAGCGTCACGGGTGCCGAGCTGCTGCGGACCACCAGGCCATCGAGATTGAGGCGCGCGTGGCAGATCACGGGCTGCCAGAAATCCCGGGGCCCGGGACGAAACGCGTAGGTCAGGGTCACATTGGCCAGCTCAAGACTGGTGAAGCGCTCCAGGCTTTCGGAATAGATGACGCGACCGCCTCGCCTCAGGGTCACCACCATGAGGCCCACGGGGAACACGTGCGTCACGTGACAGCGCAGCGTGTACTCGCCACCCACTGAGACTGGAGGCTCCAGGATCACGCTGCGTGGCGACTCTAAGGCAAGAGGGAACCCGAGTAAGGTCCGGGGACGCCCCCTAGAGCGACTGTCAACGACCCCCTCTCCTCAGGTCTCCTCCCTTCACCCCAACCGGGCAGGCCTGAGTTCCTGCCCCTCACTGTAGGTGGTGATCCTGGCGGTGGCCCCGTGCGACGTTCCTGCGCAGGTGACAAAGCAGAGCACGTCGGAGCTCCAGGCCCTCACGTCGAGCAGCTGGTAGGAGACCCAGCCCGGCCCACTGAGCGTCTTGCCCCGTTGCAGGCGGGTGCGGAGGCTGCATTCCTGCGGCAGGGGACAGCTGCTACTGCAGTTGAGCCACACGGAGTCCCCCGGACGCACAGCCACGAACTGTGGACTTAGGTGAACCCAGAAAGGCGCTGGGGTCCCCGAGGGAGGGGGAGGACTGCCCCGCGGGCCTGGCACCTGCTCTGCTGGGCGTCCCAGAGGGATCCCACCTCCTGGGTGGGCAGCCGCCAACAAAAGCAGCAGCGACAAGTGAAGCGGAGACCCCATGGTAAAGAGTCAGGACTCCGGGCCCCTGGCCAGGGCCAGGGCTGGCTCTGAAGATAAGGAGGCCTGGACCCCGCCTCCCCACCCTGCCCCAGAGAGGGAGGAGAGGCCTCTAGAAAGCCTGGCAGCCCTGAAGAAGACACTTCCCTCCCTGGGTTCAAGAGTGGGATTCCAGGCCCCACTGGAAACCAGATGGCACTGCGTTTTTCTGGAGCCAGATCTTTAGTTTTCACTATGGTCCCAAGAGGTCATAAAAAGTCCCCGATTTGGACCAGAGCCTCAGGGTTGGGCCTTGAACCCACACCCTTTTCCTGGGGGAGGAAGCGGAGGCCAGGGCTGTGGCAGAGCTGCTTAAAAAGGGCTCCAGCTGGACGTAACTGCTCCACACACACACACACACACGTGAGGCCAAAGCAGATGACAAAGCTTTATTAGCACAAAGAGAAGCCTCCAGAGCCAGGAGGGGGCCCTCCGAGGCCCTGCCCTGCTCCCCCATTTGCAGGGCCCTGATCCCTGCAAGAAGTCAGAGTTGTAGGATGTTCTGTGCTTGCAAGCCCCACTGAGTTGGAAGCAGATGGGACAAGACATGGGCGCACAGCGGTTGAACAGTTCCTGGGACGCCATGTTTCGGCAGCTAAAGAACAGGCACCCGTGTTGAGGCATGGCCACTGAGTGTCACTGTGAACACTGGCAGAGATGTACGTGGGTTAAGGAAGGTCAGTGCCAGTGCTGGGGGGGATGGGCAAGGACTCACTGGGTGGTCCCTGAGCAGGCAACCATTGCTAGTACAGAGTATCCCTGTGACAGACAAATCACCCCTTCTGGGGGAAAGCAGCTTGGTTGATGGAGTGAGAAATTCCAGCCCCGTTTAATCTTTTTTTTTTGAGTCGGAGTCTCACTCTGTCGCCCAGACTGGAG